TCATTGTAGAAGAATCAAATTAAATTTTAATAAAGTTAGAGACATGGTCTCACCATTAATATTCAAAAAAAAAAAAATAATAAAAATTTAATACTTCGAACTTACTCAATAATTAATTTAGTGAAATCAAATAATTGTAAAATCATTAAGTGACCAGGGATTAAATTCTAATTAAAAAAATTGTTAACATAAATATATAATTAGTAATCAAATTACTAAATAAAAAAAAAATAGTAACGTAAACTTATAAGTATTAATAAATGCTTTTCACATTTACTGATTAAATTTAATAATCTAGCATCTATTGAAATTATAAATTACCTGTTGCTAGAATCTAATAATCGGTAAAATCACGAAGTGAGCAAAGATAAAATTATTAATTAAATGAAAAAAAAGGTTAGCAACGAGAATTTAAAATTATTTCTCAATGCTTTTTATACTTACATGCAAAGTTTTTTTAGTAAATTAATACTTTGAAAGTACTAAATTATTAATAAAGAAATCAAATAATCAGTAAAATCAGTAAATGATCAGGGTAAAACTCTAATTTAAAAAAATATCAGCAACATAAATATATAATTAGTAATCAAATTACTAAGTAAAAAAAAAAAAATAATGACATAAACTTATAATTATTAATCAATACTCTTTACACTTACTGATTAAATCTAATAAGTGAAAATTACTAAACTATTAATCCAGCATTTATTGAAATGATAAATTACCTGTCGCTAGAATCTAATAAGCGGTAAATTCACAAATTAATTAGAGATAAAATTATTAATTAAATAAAAAAAAAAGTTAGCAACGGGAATTTAGAATTATTAATCAATACTTTTATACTTATATACTAAATTTGTTTAGTAAATTAATATGTCAAATTTACTAAAGCATTAATAAAGAAATCAAATAATACGTAAAATCATTAAATGATCGGGGATAAAACTCCAAGAAAAAAAAAACAGCAGTAATATAAATATATAATTAGTAATCACAAGGCTTTTTACACTTACTAGCTAAATTCATTCGAATGAATTGCTTTTTACATAGATTAGTATTATGGTTTGAATTTGTGAATTTATTTTGCATTTAAAATTATCTGGTAATTAATGTACCTTATACTTATTACCACAATGTAATTTACTGAATCTACTTTAGAACTCCTTTTCTTGCTAGCAGATCTGTTACATAAATTGACTTACTGGCTAAATTCAGTCAACTAAAATGGCTTTTACATATATAAGTATTATGTTGTTAATTTGTAAAATTCTTTTGCACATAAAATTATCCAGTAATTAATGTACTTTATACTTGTTAGCACAATGTAATCTACTAAATCTACTTTACAACCTCTGTTTCTTGTTGGTAGATCAGTTACAGAAATTGTTTCTAGCTAAGAAGTTATATCAAAAGTTAATTTTTGCAGTGTAAATTTATATAATAGTGTTTTTTTTGGCTTTTACAATATTAGGGAAAGTAGAAAACTGGAGTTTGGTTAAACAAAAATAAACTTTCTATAGTATAAATAAACTAATGATAAGTAGTAAGAGAAAGTATCAATGAATGGAAAAACCTTGATAAATTAAGAGTAGTAAATAACAAATCATGCAAAAACAACCTCTGAACATAAAAAAAAAAAAAGAAATTAAAAAATAAATAAAATAGAATAAAAGCAACGAAGCTCTGTTTAAAGCAAACTGAGACAAAAATTAAGTTACTAACGAATAGTAAAAATATTAGCAAAACTAAATCGTAAAAACAAAAATCTTGAACGAACAAAGGCTGTAAAACTAATAGTGATTGGGAGAAAAAAAAATAGAATGATAGTATATAAACAAAAGGAGAAATAAGCTAATATGGATAAAAGCAAAAAAAATGAAGCGTGGAAAAAAAATTATTGTAGTTTACAAAAATAAAGGGGATAATTTGTTTACATCTCTTTTTTAGTAGTTTGTGCATCCAGAACATATAAATTAAGTTATACGATTTGCAGATTCAATATAAATTGTATTGTAGATAATTCATGCAGATGGGTTACACTTGTGCATCCAGAATGCATACTATGTAACAGAAAGTGTGCTATATATATATAAAGATTTGTTTTTATGTTTAAACAATACTAATAGTTTAGATTGAAGCATGTTAATTAGTTATTAATATTTTTCTTTGTGTGCAAATAAATTATTATATTATTAAAGAAAAAAAATAGCATGAATTAACATTACTGTAATAACCTTAATAAGCAATTTATTTGCATCTCAAATCTCTACTCATGAAATTGCTATAGCTGGTGAAATAACAAATGTTCCTAGAAATATTGCTAATATTATTTCAATAAATATTGAAGATAATATATAATATTTCTTGGAAAACAAGGCTTCTCTCAACAATTTTAAAAGTAAAATAAAAAATTTGTGCCCCAAATATAACACTATTCAGAGTAACAATAAAAATAATAGTAGAATTTTCATCAAATAATATATTTTGCAGTCATAGTGATGGCAATAGTAATGAGTATGCAAATCATATTGAATATTGAGACTATTTCAAGTTCCTAAAAATATGGAAAGAAATATCAGTAAAAAATCTATTACCGATTTAATATAAATAAATAAATAAATAAACAAATAAAACAATCAATGAAAATATATGACTTTTAAGTAAACTTACATTTCTTTCACGTTCTAACGTAACCACTTTTAAGAAACCAATTTTTTCTTCATTTGAAAGCTCATTATATTCTCCCTTTATTTTTGGATTTAGCTTATTGTAATAATCCTTCAATTCAGATGGTAGAAACTCTTGATTATTTGAATCATTTTATACATTTTGATCTTCTAGGGTGTCTATGTGTTTTGAAGCACTCTTGCTAGTTGAGATATCTTCGGTGGTGCCAGATTACATAATTTTCATTGATGTTCTAAGCACATTCGACCAATCAGAATTAATCACCACCAACATCGTGTAAACAATTTTTTTTAAAACTTTGAACAAAAGTTTTCTTAATTGTTACCTGGCAAAATTTTATAAACTTTTTTTTATCTTAATTCTACACATTCATACAATTAAGATAAAAAAAACTTTTATCAAATTTTGTATGATGGTTATCGAGAAAAGTTTAGAAAAATCTGTTCGTCTATCAGTAAATTAAGTGCTTTTAAATTTTTTTTAAAACTTTGAACAAAAAATTTTCTCACTATCTGACTAAATTCGATAAGCTTGTTTTATTTTAATTCTATAAATTCATAGAATTAAGATAAAAAAAATTTATTGAATTTGGGCAAGCAGCTGTCAAGAAAACTTTGCTCAAAGAAATAACTTGTTCCATCTATCAGTAAATTGAGCCAAAGTTTTTTTTAAAACTTTAAAGTTTTCTCGATAATTATCTGACTAAATTCGATGTTTTTTTTTATTTTAATTCTATGAATGTGTAGAATTAAAGCAAAAAATAATTTATCAAATTTGGTTAGGTAATTATCGAAAACTTTGCTTAAAGTTTAGAAAGAATTTGTCCCTTTTATTAGTAAGCTAATCTTTTTTTAAACTTTGAAAGAAGTATTCTCAATAACTTTTAAATCAGATTACTTGAATTGTTTTTATTTAAGTTCTATACATTATTATAATTTTATCAAATTTCATTAAGTGGTTGTCAAGAAAACTTGCTTAAATTTAGAAGAAATCTGTCTCGCCCATTAGACGAAAATTAATTTCGTTTTTCATTATCTGTCGACCCAAATTTTCAAAAACTCAAATTGTTGTTAAACAAAAATAATATATAGATATTTGGTATGCTGTAATGATAATATCGTGATCTGCATGATCATGATATTATTATTACACATAACAGATAACGGAAAGTATCTGGGCCAGAATTTGATCGGAAGATAGCTGGGCTCCGCAGGGGCCCAGAC